TCGCTGCCTTTCTGTGTGGATCCTGGGGCTCTAACCAGCTCAAGTACCTTTGTCTGCTGAACCATCCATCTCCCTATCCCTTGCTTCGTTTTTTTGAGTTGGGGTCTTCCCACATAGCCTGGCAATTGCTAAATCAGCTGGGATGGCCTTGAACTCGGAGCCATCTTCCTCCCTTGGTCTTTAGTGCTGGAATTACAGACTTGGGTCATCATGCCCAGCTCAGTTAATCACTCAGTTAAGCACACTTTGCTGGGTGCTTGGAATAGAGAGGTGTGAACCAAACAGAAATTCCCAGCCCACTAGGGGACTGACATTCTCAGTTCCCACTTGGTGACCTTCCTCGGCACTTAACTGTAATGACCAAATGTCTCGCTCTGTTTTTCAACATTCTGCCCAGTGCTGGGTCTCTTCCTCCCTTGCTTCCACCCTCAACTTCCCTAGCTGGTTGCTGGTTCCCTCTCTCTGTCTCTCTAGCTGTGTGTGTGTGTGTGTGTGTGTGTGTGTGTTTCTTTAGCGAGCTCTCCCAGCTTTAAATGCCACCTTTTAACCATCAGCATTTACATGTCAGGACCAGACTCTTTGGGGCCCAACTGTGGATGTTCCCATCTCCAGAGAGCTCTGTGTGCCCAAATGTAGGCAGCCCTCTCTCCCTCCTAAACCAGCTCTTCCAAACTCTCCTGCCAACCCACTCTCCATCTTTCTAATCTCACTCAGGCCAGAATCTGCAGTCATCCCTGGTGACCTAACAAGCACCCTCTCCAGCCACAAATGTTGTTGGCTTAACTTCCAGAATATTTCCAGAATCTCCCTAGTGCCCACACCACGGTCCACCCACCACTCCTACCCACCCGGATTATGACAGAAGCTTCTCTGGGCTCTCTGACTCCCCCAAATTCGTTCCTCAAAGGAAGTGTTAAGGACACACATGCACCCACACACAGGAAGTGGATAGCACAGTCACCGCCAGGGTGACATCCGTTGTAGCTGTCTCTCTCCTCTACTGTTCTGAGGACTTCTTTGGAAAATTTTCTTTGGCCAGATTCCTTCAGGTCCCAGCCCACCATGACCCCTCCAGGCCATCTCCTATTCCTGTTTCTGCTCCCAGGTGAAGACAGCAGGGAGGGGTTGAGGGGACAGCTGTGACTGAGGAGAGTGGAACAGAGGGCAAGCCATTCTCCCTGTGCCCTTTTCTTTCCCGAGAGCCACTGGGTCTCAAGGTCTGGGTCCTTGGGGGTGAGGGTGAGATTCTGGAGTTGTCAGCTCTCCTCATTGCTGGGTCACTACTATTTCCCTTTTCTGGTCACTATCTGTGTTCCAGGAAGCCCCATTTCTTATGTCTCAAGCACCTCCCCCTCCCCCGCCCCCCA